GGCCCCGCATTGCTTTTCAGAGAGAGTGGGAGAGAGAGAGGCAGAGAGGAACATTGATGTGGATTGAGCCTGCTGGAGTCGAACCCAGGACGCTTCAGTCTGAGGTGACGCTCTAACCATTGAGCCACACTGGCTAGGGCACACTCTTTCCCCTCTTCACCAACTCTAAGACCCTGCTGATTTTTTCTTCACCATACCTGCCTCCACATTCCCCACCACACATACCTTTGTCTTCTTTTGCCTTTCCCCCTTCCCTATCTCACGCTGTGTCTCTCTGGTTCTCTCCCTGCCCGGATTTATCTCTGGGCATCTCTCTCCAGGTTGGCTGTCCTTCCATTTCCTTCCCTCTTTCTGAGAGCCTTTCCGTCCCTCATCTCTGCCTGGCCCTCTTTGTCAGTTTCCTTTATTTCCTCCCTTCCTTTCCTCTGTCACTGTCTCTGTCTGCCTTCTCATGGTTACTTCCCCTCTTTGTGTCTCTGCTTCTCCCCATCAGTCCCTCTTCTGTGGCTTTTCCAGTGTCTCTCTGTGTGTGTGTCTCTGGCTTCCGCTCTGATAGTCCCTTTGCCCGTCTCTATTTTTATCCCTCTGACACACCCCCAGTGTCCATCTCTCTGTCTGTCTGTCTCTCCCCCTCCCTCTTCTCCTCTGGACCCAGCTCCTGGTCCCAATTAGTTGGTTGCCGCCAAGGCAGCGGCAGGGCCCCCACCCCCAGCTCCTCATTACAGCTGGCAGCTCCTAATGAGCCTGGGGGGAGGCTGACCCCGCGCCCCCAGCCCCCTGGTCTGCGTCATTGCCCGCTGCGGGGGCTGTAGAAGGTATATAAGGGGGCTGCCTGCCTCACTGCCCAGCCCACTGCGCAGTAGGGGGTCCTGCGATCAGCCTGCCGGGGGTGGATAAACTCTTGGGTGCCGGGCTAGGACACGGGCCTCACGAAGCTCTTCCCTGCTCTCCACAGGTGATGGAGACTCACCAGGTGGCCAGAAACTCCCGGGTGCGGCTCCTGCTGCTACTTCTGCTGCTTGTGCCCTGGGGTATCGGCACTGCCTCGGGTGTCGCCCTGCCCCCTGCGGAGGTCTTCAGGTACGTGAGATGCCCAGGATTCCCAGAGGAGTGAGGAAAGAGACCCAAAGGAAAAGGGAACAGAGACTCAGAGAGGGAGATAGAGACGAGGGGTTAGGAGAGATGCCGGTGGGCGGAATCAGCAAGAGATACAAAAAGATAAATTCTGAGAAAGGCCTTGACTTAAAAGGAGTCAAAACAGAAAGGGATTTGTTCCTTGAACACCGATTATTGGGGTTTTTGGGATGTGCCCGGCCCTACACTGAGTGCTGAAGCGGACCAGGGCATCCCACGCGGTCTCTGTACTCAGGGAGCTCGGAACCTGGAGAACAGAGACAGAGACCACACGGAGAGACAGAGGGACAGAGACCGACCCACTCCACAGACAGTGCAGTAACAGGGCTTCGAGTTAGACCACCAGGAGAACAGGCTGTGGCGGGCGGGGGCCTGGACTTGAGCTAACGACGTCTCTCGGTCTCCCCACAGCCTCCGCTCCCCAGACCGAGCCTGGGCGGGTCCGGCCACCCCGGTGGTGTCGCGGCGGAGCCTGGCCCTGGCAGACGACGCGGCCTTCCGGGAGCGCGCGCGGATGCTGGCCGCGCTGGAGCGCCGCCACTGGCTGAACTCGTACATGCACAAGCTGCTGGTGCTGGATGCGCACTGAGCTCCCGCCCTCTGGCACGTTAATAAAGACCCTGCTGTGCATCAGGACTTTGCCTCCTTCCTGCGCCGGTGTGTGTGCGTGTGTATGTCTGTGGGTGGTGGTGGTTACACTGGCACGTCACCCCTCCGTCCCTTCTTTCCTTAAAAAAAAAAACTATCCCAGCCTGGCCCATGTGGCTCAGTGGTTGAGCATCGATCCATGCACCGAGGTCACCGAGTTGGATTCCGGTGAGGGTACACGCCCGGGTTGCAGGCTCGATCCCCATCAGGGGGCGTGCAGGAGGAAGCTGATCAATGACTCTCATCATTGATGTTTCTCCCTTTCCCTTCCTCTCCCTGAAATCAATAAAAACATTTTTTTTTTTTTTTAAAAAAAAGGGTTTCCCCCTCTCTCACAGCAGATTCCAGCAGCTTCTTCAGGGTTTTCTGTGTCCTTTCCGGGAGACGAACGGAGCGGCAGGTTGGGACAGGAAGGAGAGAGAGTACTAGGAGTCAGGCTCCTGGAGGCATGGGGCAGGGGAGGGAGGGGAGACACCTGGGCTGCCAGCGAAGCGAGAAAGCAGCCAATCAGAATCAATCTCTCTCCCTCTCCCTCTCTCTCTCTCTCCCCCTTCCTCCACCCCCTCCGTGTCTCTCTCTCTCTGTCTCTCTGTCTCTCTCTCTCGTCTCGGCCAGCCCTTCAGTCCCACCCCTCAACAGTGACTACGGCAACCTACTTCACACCAGAAGCACCAAGCACCCTGCGCGCAGCACCTGCGGACCACACTCTGATTGGTCTAGAGAAGAGGGTGGAGCCGGGAGTGGCCTTGATCAGGAAGGGGGCGGGATGGGCTCTTGGTGATTGGCAAGTTCTCCTATCATTTGCATTTCCGGAAGATGGGCCACGCTGCAATTAGGCCATGAGGTCTGCCTGTTTCTACGTTATTGAAATACTAAATAATGAATAACTGTATTCCTTAAAATCATCCAGAGGTGGCCAAATTTTACAAATAAACAAGACTCTGAAAGGAGTAATTTCCCCAAGTTGCCAGCGCTAACAAAGCACAGGACAACTGGAACCCAAACCTGTGCAACGTCAAAGTCTAAACATTTCCACTACCCTGATAGAGAAATGGAATTACAATCTTATGAACAGTTACCATATGCCCGGCTACACTGTGAGTGGCCTCATCCTGTGTGCTGGAGGGCCTGGAAGCTGGGTCTCGGCCTGTACCTTTCACATACTCTACTTCCTCCTTAGATCTCCACAGGGAATAACACCCAGACCCCCATTTCCAGATGGAGAGCCCAGGGCTCAGAGCTCCAGCCACCTCTTGGAACCCTGATATCTACCCCATCCCAAATGAGCTCCTTTTCATGGTTCCCCATCTTGGGAATGGCTTCGTAGTTTATCAGTCACTGGGTCAGGTGCTGTCTTTGTCCTTCCCTCTTCATCAGCTTTCACAGCCTGTCAGTCCCTGACTCCGTTCTTCCAGCTCTACCTCTGTCCACCCTTCCCTTCTTTCCACCCACAATCTAGGCCCAGCTTAGACCTCATCCTCTCCCACCTGGACCACAGCCCCAGCCTTCTCCCCACCTCCTACCTCAGCCCCACCCCATTATTCATCCCCTATACAGGCTCACAAGGTCTCTTCCCCACCCTGAGTTGTTTCTGTCCCTTCTATGCTTGCAGCCCTTTCTTGGGCACTTAGGAGTAAATTTCAAGCTGGTGTTCAAAACCCTCCATGGGCTCTTGCCCACCTCTCTACCCTATCTTTCAGCACTCTGTAGCCTCAAATCCTTCCCTGGCTCCACATCTTTTTCTTTTTAACCCTAGCAACATGGTGCTGCCTATGGCTCTCCACACACAGAGGCTCTTTCCCACCCCTTGATCTTCATACTTGTTTCCTCTGCCTGCAACATCCTCCTCAGCCCCTGCTCACTGTAACCAACCTTACCCATCTTTCAAGACTAAATGCAGGTGTCACTTATCTGGGAAGAAATCTCTAGCTTCCAGGCTCTTAGGTGCCTTTTGGGGGCTCCCGGGGCCTGAATCTACCTCTATCACTATCTGTCTTTTAATAGGTGTGATTCTGCCCCACCCTTGCTCAAAACTCTCCCAAGGAGCCTCTGTGGTGCTGAAACTGTTCTATATCTTGACCTGGGTTGGGTTTCGGTTTTGAGTGTTTACATATTCAAAAATTCATCCAACTGATACTTAAGATTTGTCCATTTATCTGTATGTAAGTTACACCTCAAACATAAATAACCCAAAACAAGCAACAAAACCTCCCAAAGCTCCCATCATTCTTTGGGCAAATCACAAAGTGTTTGTGGAGTGAACAAATGTCACACTGGTCCACTTCCTGCTGGCTGTTTGCACTGGAGCAGACATTTGTGGTCTGTGTCTGGCCCACATCTCTCTCTCCCTTTCTGCTGTGAGAGGTGCTTGGTCTCCCTTGCAGTGAGGGGTGATGACGCCAAACCATCTGGCCAACAAGACATAAACACAGGTCTGCTGCTGGCTCTGGGAAGGCTACTGCTTTTTTTTTTACAAAAAAGAGGGGACACATCCCCTTCTCTCTGCAGATACGACATATGAAGCTACAATGTCAGCCATCCCCTGAGAATGAGGGAAGGGCCAGGAGGATCACAGAGTCACAGCGCGCTGGCCCCGAGGCTGTAGAGACTGAGCTGTGGGCTTACCGCTGTTCTCCAGGCTTGTTTTGTGAGGAAAATAAAACCCTAGTACTTACTCCGTTATTGGGCGTGTTTTGCTACTGTCAAGAAATATAGTTGTCAACATCAAAAAACCAAGACTTCACCTAAAGACCCCATACAGGAGTGTAGATCCTGCAATACCGCAGGATCTCCGTACTGGGGTAATCCCAGATAACAGTGGCACAACAGGAATAACAGTAAAAAGAGCCGAAGAAATTCACTGAACTAGACATTGCTCTGAGGGAATGGGGAGCATGGCTCACACTGGGGGGGGGGCGAGGTAGCAGAGCTGAAGGTGGGGCCAAGTGGGGGGTGGGGACTGGCCCAGCAGCAGGATGGAGAGCAGCAGCAGCAGCAGGAGACCCAAGACAGGTGCCGGAATCAGCGGGTGCCCAGTGACCCTGATGGGGTGGCAGGACAGTGCTTAGGGTAGGGCCCAGGGGAGCCCAAGCACCCTGATGTGTGACCACCACCTTCCTTCTGGTGATGCCTTGGGGCTCACCTGAGCTGCTGGGGGTGCAGGGGGCACAGGCAGACCTTGCCCCAGACTGGTCTCCTTACTGGGACCAGCTTCTTCTCCACAGGTACCAGGGCTTGCTGCAGGTCTGGTGGGGCAGGGCTGCTAGAGAGAAAGGAGGACAAGGCAATCACACTAGACTTTGTCCCCAAGTGCCCTCCCAGTCTCTGTGGGTCCTGGTACCTCTCAGGAGGGCTTCTTGGAATGTCTCCAGTGTGAGGGTCTCCCAGAGGGATGAAGAGATCAGCCTGGAAGGACAAAGGAGGTGACAAACTTGAGACACAGAGTCCTGGACAGAAGTGACCCCATGGAAGGGAGTGGAACACAGTGAATGGTTCAATGTATAAGCTTTCCCAAAACACACTGCTGGGTTGGGGTCCCAGCTCTGCCAGCTTCTGGCCATGTGTCCTTTGGCATGTCACCCCACTTCTCCATGCTCCACTTTCAACACCTGCTGGACAGGGAAAATGACAGTATCCACCTCACAGGTCTGAAGTGGAGACTGACTGAGTGAATATGGGTTAAAAAAAAAGTGGGAGGGGGCTCAGAACTGTGCCTGGCACACAGTGAATGCTCAATAACTGTGTGAGCTACTCAAGTTGATTATTTCCACTTCCATTGGATTCTGGAAGTATCCAATGGCAATAAAAATAAAGTAATAAAGAATAATAGGACACCAGTCCCAGCCACCACCTTCACCATTGTCACCTACTGTGTGCCTGCTCTGTGTGAGGCCTGGAGTCAGGCCCTTTACAACATGATCCTTAACCCTCACCCAACCCTGAGAGCTGGATGAAGATCATTCACCATGCCAGCTAGAGAACCAGAGGTGGGGCCCAGGCTCCACAGTTGTGGCAGGAAGGAGGTGGGCTTTGGGGTTAAGATGTTCAGAGAGACCATCTTGGATGGTGTGGACCCTGAAGGGTGCCAGGTGCCCGGAACGGCCTGGCACACATTTGGCTCTCAAATCCTCAGCCGAGGACTGCAGGCTCCTTACCTCATTTCCTTCCCTCCCTTTCCTTGCCTAAGAATGGGGATTGTCGCCTGCTGCTTTGAGGAGCAAAGGATCCAGCGTGTGTGGTGCTGGGCAGGGGGGTGCTGTGCCTTGTGCCTTGAGGGAGTTCTGAGGCTGGCTGGGGAGAGGGAGGGTCCAGCCCCTTCCTGTGTGTGGGCGTAAGTACGTGTGCACTTTCGCAATCCGGGGGTGTAGCCACGTCTGTGGTGCAGCGGTTGCAGCCGTGTGTGTGCTTGGGGGGTCCCCTGGGAACATTCTGGCCGCCCACTGGCCTGCAGGCCACCACCTGCAGCACCATCCGCTCTCATTAGCTATAGTGAGGGCCTTGTTATCTCTTGGCCAAATGATTTTTCTGTCTGTTCAGGGGAAGTGGGGGTGTGGGTGGGAGCTGGGGAGGAGCTGTGATGACATCAGTCCCCTCAAAGGGCCTGGAGTAGATGGGGACTGGGGAAGGGTACTGGGGACTGCCTACCGTGACCTGGATCTCTGCTTCCTCCTCTTCCTCTCTTCTGGGCAACCTGGGGCAACAATAATGTCACTGTAAGCATTTTCCCTCAGCCTGACTCCCATTTGCCCACTGAAGGGCTCAGGGGAACCTTTAGAGCTGGGGTTTTGAGGAGGATGGACCTGGGGTCTGTGACCTCAAAAAGGGGACAAGGGTCTCTTCATCTCACTGGCTTTCTCAGTTGCTACTTTTCTAGTTGATTCCCTAGGTAGGAGCCGAGGCTTCTAGCTCTCACTCCCCAAAACACCTAAGGCCTGTGTAGACCCTGTCCCCTACTTCCTGCCTGCTGGGTTGCACCATTTTCACTCAGTCTCAGTTTTACTGGGTCTTTTTTCAGAACTTGGACTCCTGAATCCAACTGTGTAAGCCCCCCTCCTATCCTAAATAATTTCTCTTAGGGATGTGAGCCTCCAGCCTCTGCCCCTCCTAGGGTCACAGCTGCCTGAGTTCCTGAAATGCCTCTTTGGAGACTCAGGCCTCAAGCTGCCCAGATGCTCCTTGGAGACTCAGATGTCCACACTACCAGCCATCACCTTCACTGGGGACAAGGTATTTGACCCTCCACAGTTTTAGATCTAACATCCTCAGGATACAGCTGTTATCTCAACTAGCATCCCAAAAGGCAACCAGACCCTCTCCAGGTTCAAGCCCTTATCTCTAGTCACTTCTAGGGCCACAGGATTTCACTACCTCCCTGCGCTCCCAGCATCCCAATCTGTGTATCATACTGCCCCTGTCCCTGGAAACTCAGATGTCCAGCCCCTGCCCCTGCTGATGCTTAGACCCTCCTCCCATCCATTTCCTGGTGACTGAGGAGAGGTCACAGCTCTGGAGCCCCCATCCCACCCAGTATGAGCTTTCCCAAACAAGTCCAATTAGAGCTCCTGGCAAGCAGCTTCACTAGTTGCTACAGCTAGGAGGAGTCTGAAAGAGAGGAGGGGAGAGGGTGGCATCACAGGAAACCAGAGGCCCCAAAGCCAGGGCCCCAAAGAGGGTTGGTACAGATATTTAGTGCTTTCTCTATCCTCAAAGGCCTGCACAGGAGCCTCATAACAATCCCAGGGCTGGGGCTCCACGGCATTATGCCGAATGCTCCCACCATCCTCTATCACAAAAGGACTGAGCTTGGATTTGAACTCCAGGTGTCTGATTCCAGAGCCTTCATAATCTCCCAACTGCCTGGGTGCTCCCCAGGGGCCCAGTCTGGGTCTCATTTATTCCAGGGTTCCCTAGAGACCTTGGAGAGATATGTTCAGTGAGTGGCTGAGTGACTGAGCTGTCCCATCTTCCTGACAACCGTTGTCTTTTATCCAAGAGTCTCCTATATGAATACCATTCTTGAAGGACCCTTCAGGCATCACCTCCCCAGGAAGCCCTCCCTCCATCCCAGGTGGGGTCAGGTGCCAGCTGTCTTCCTGGAACTATATGAGTCAGGGCTGTTTCCCCCTAGGCGGGGAGTCACTGAGGGCAAGGCTGGATCTGACTCATCCTGGTTCACAGGCCCAGGTTCGGCTCAGCATGAGTAAATGAACGAATGAATAAATGAGTGATAAGAGGCTCCTTCAGGGCTCTTCTAGTTCTGTACTCCATCTGTCTGAGAATTGGGTGTCACCTCGAGGCAGAAGAATGGGTTTAGGAGGATCAGGCTTCTTACCACATTGACTGCTCCTTCCTTCCTTCATGAGGGTATGCTGGCTCTCCTTGGAAGTTTCTCTGTGAGGGAAAAAAGTTAGGTCTCCCAGGCTGCAACACCTCAGACACCAAACACACCATCTTCAAAAATCTGCCCTCCTCTTGGGCCCCCTCCTCGGGGACAGATCTATACCCCCCCTCCCCAGAAACCAAACCTGGAGCATTATTCTGGACCCTACCAAGCCCTTTTTGCTTCTTCAGGACCCAGGAGTCCAGATCCTCCAAACTTTTAAACTTCTCACCTGGGCTCAGTGTTCCTCTTTCAAACCCCATTCTCCTCCCAGGTTCCCAGGCTTGAGATGGCCCCATCATCTGCTCTCTCTCAGGACCAAAGCCCCTCTGTTTTCTCCAGAGAATCTTATCCTATGGCCCCAACTCAACTCAACACTCTTTTCTAAACATATCCCTGAGCTCTAGCTTTGTGCACTCACTGCTCTGGAGCAGCCCACTCCTCTCTCCATGTCCCTCACTCACCTCATAACATCACAAGATAAGTTCATCATTTCCTCTCTTCTCTTCCCTTTCTATCACCCTGAACCCCAGCCCAGATATCTGTCTGCAGCTCTGTCTTCCCTGCCCCAATTCTTTCTGTCCATCCCTTTTCTCTATCCAAAGGCCTGGCCAGGCTCAGGCTCCATCCTCTCCAACTGTACCATTGCCTCAGCCTCCTCTCTGGCCTCACCTCCTCAGTCCCCATGTGGCTGGCTTCAAAGGGATCTTTCTACATCCAGAGCTGCCCTGCCCCTCCCTGCTCACAGCCCTGCTGTGGCTTGATGGAGAAAGTACAATCTTTTAGCTTGATTGCCAGGGAATTCCTTTCATGATCGGGCCCCAGACTCATCTCTCACTAGTCACCCCAATTGCCCTCTACTCTCCAAACATATCCGATTTCGAACCTCCACACATACTGCTTCCACTGCTGGAAGGTCATTCTTTCCTCACACCACTTCTTTTTTTCTTCAAAATAAACTCAAGTGTCAGTTTCCCTGTGATCTCTTCCAATCTCCCACCTGACACTGGTACCCCCTCCTCTGGGCTCCCACAGGGCTCACCCCCCACCTGTAGCACACTGATCATACTGCATTGGCATGGTCCATTTGTGTGATCTCTCCACTAGGCCTTGAGTGCTAAGGGTCCTGGGTCCTGAGTGACCCAGCTCTGTGTCCCCAGGACCCAGTGCAGGCAGCACCCTGAGACCTGGGTCAGTTCTCCTGGCTGGGGTATCTGAGGGTTCGTGGCAGAAGCTCATTTCCTCTGAGGAATGCAGCCCTGCCCTCCACAAGCTGTGTGACAGTGGACATGTGATCTCTCTGAGCCTCAGTTTCCCATGAGTAGAAGGGTGAGGAATGAGGAAGCCTACCTCACAGAGAATCTGGGAGAGGTAAATGAGAAATCAAATGAGAGCATCATGTCAAAGAAAAATACAAAAGCTTCTCTCAACCGAAGGAAAAAGTGAGCAGAGAAGTGAGTTTCTCCTTTAAGGGTGGCAAACAGCTTTGAAGTGGTATAGATTTCGACAATACAGAGTTGTTTATAGAGCTGTTCAGCAATACTTTCTTTAAAAAATTTCTTTGCCCGGCCAGGTGTGGCTCAGCGGTTGAGCACTGACCTAGGATCCAGGCGATCGGGGTTCGATTCTCGGTCAGGGCACATGCCCGGGTTGCAGGCTCGATCCCCAGTTGGGGGCATGCAGGAGGCAGCCGATCAATGACTCTCTCATCATTGATGTCTCTCTCTCTCTCCTTTCCTCTCTCTGAAATCAATAAAGATATATTTTAAAAAAAATAAAAATCTTCTGGTTGCCCTGGCCAGGTAGCTCAGTTAGCTAAATATGCCAAGGTTTGATCCCCAGTCAGGGCACATACAAGAAGCAACCAATGATGCATAAATAAGGGAAACAAATCCATGTTTCTCTCTCTCCCTTCCTTTCTCTCTCTAAAATAAATAAATAAATAATAAATAAATAAATAAATTTCTTTTGGCACTAATAGATTAAAATCTCACTTTTTAGTTGTGGACATTAAAGATGAGTTGTTTCAGTTATTTCAAATGATGTAATATTATTGTACAGATAATTACAGAAGTCATAAAACAATGGCTATTGTTGAGTTCAAGATTTCATAGTGGGTTTGCTAAGGGAAATGCTTGACGTATCTTTACTGTGTCAGGAGGAACAGTTCACTTCCCACTGTAGTACCATTCTAATTATTTTATTTTATTATTTTATTTTATAATTTAGTAACTTCATTCTTTATTTTTCAATTACAGTTTACTTTCAATATTATTTTGTATTGGTTTCTGGTGCACAGCAAAGTGGTTAGACAATCATGTACTTTATAAAGTGTGTCCCCTCATATTTCCAGTACCTACCTGACTCCATACAGTTATTACAATATTATTGACTATATATTCTCTATGCTGTACTTTACATCCCATGACTGTTTTCTAACTGTATGTAGTACCATTTATTTTTTTTAAAAGAGTTTATCTTTTTGGTTAATCCTCACCTGAGGATATTTTTCCATTGATTTTTTTAGAGAGAGTAGAAAGGAAGGAGGGAGGGGGAAGGAGGAGAGAGAGAGAGACACTGATTGGTTGCCTCCTACACATGCTTCCACCAGGGCCAGGGACCAAACCTGCAACCCAGGTATGTGCCCTTGACTGGGAATTGAACCCTCTGGTCCACTGGCTGGTGCTCTAACCACTGAGCAACCCTGAAGGCCCAAGGATATGTTTTTTATTGATTTTAGAGAGAGAGGAAGGGAGAGGGAGAGAATCATTGATGTGAGAAATATCAATCAGTTGCCTCTTGTATGCACCCTGAATGGGGATTGAACCCACAACCTGGGTATGTACCCTGACAGTGAATCGAACCTGCAACCCTTCAGTGTATGGGACGATGCTCTAAGTAACTGAGCCACACTGGCCACACCACTTTAAATAAGGTGATTTCTGACAGTGTTTCCTAAACAACCACCACCACAAAGAAATTTATGTGTTTGCTTTCTTCACTTTTGTCTACCACACTAGCAGGCCAGTCCCTAGAGGGCAGGGACAGTGTCCTGTCTGGCTTAGGCTCCCTATTCCTCAGTGGTTGCTCAGTGAACATTTGCCTATTGAATGGGGAACAGTGCAGGCACATGGAGTCCCAGGTCCTTTTCCCAGCTCTGGACTCCACTGGTCTCACAGCCCCTCCTCCCATGCTCACCTGTCCTTCAGTTGGGATTTCAGGTAGAAACTCAGCTTCCTCATCACTCTCATTGATGCCCTCCTCCCACCGCCATACCCCACACAGAGGGCTGGAGAGATTGGTGGCTGCCTCTTCTTCTTTCTGGGAGAAAAGTTGTTTCTGAGGTCAGGGAGGGCCAGATTAAGGCAGAAGGCAGGTCAGAGATGGGGATGGAGATGGGCTGATGTGTGGAGATGGGAGGTGGAAGGGAGCTGATATGAGGCTGGGCTGGGGAGTAGGTGGAGGCAGGACCCAAGAAGGGTTTGGTGCCAGGACCAAGAATTGGATTAGGGATGAGATTAGGACAGATGGTCTTGAGGAGAAATGGGGTAGGGTGAGAGTCAGGGCTGGGTCAGAGTTGCAGCTCGAGGTGGGTTGGGGTGTTCCTAGGGGTGCCAGGCCCACCTGCTGAATGGCCTGGATCTCCATGCCCAGTGATGGGGACAGCAGCTTGGTCCAGTCCACTCTTCTCGCCTGAGACCCTTTGGGTAGCCTGGCCACACAGTCAGGAGGGGGAAGGTCTCTGTGCCTGCCCACCACCTGTCCGTTGGCCTATGCTTGGGGTTGCCACCCTGCCCACCTTGGGGCTGAAGGCTGGGGGTCCCTGCTCTTGGGCTCTCCTCCTGCCTCCTCCACCCCTCATGTTCCACTCACTCATCTGGCCCCTTATGGATCTGACTCAGCTGCTCCTCCAGGTGTGAGATTTCCAGCCTCAGTTCCTGCAAAGGAGGGAGGGAGGGACACCTGGCTTTCCATTCTTCCCCCACCCCCACCCCTAGGCTCCTCTTCCAAGGTCAATTCCACTCCCCTGACTTCTTTGGGCTCCTCAAGAGACATATTGCCAAGGGACATGGGGAAGAAAGCAGTGAAAGAAACTTAAGGAGGCCAGCGAGAGAGAGCAGCAGGAACCCAAAAGGTAACCTGGCAGCCAGGAAAACTAAGCAAAGGGAGGCAGAGACAGTCACATGGAACAAAACACAGATGGACACAGACTCACAGAGAGACAAGAGACACACCAAGTGTAAGAGACTCATAAAGACCAGGGACAGAGAGAGGAGTCGCCTTGGGAGACAGACTAGACACAGAGAGGGGCTGAGGCAAGAATCTAAATAAGCCAGGCAGATACACATAGAGATAAGGAAGGGAAATGCAGTGAGGAGACACCCACAGAGAATAAAAGTGAAGGGAAAACATATACAGAGTGAGAGAAAGGAAAGACAGAGAAAAAGTGAAAAGGCAGAGAGACGGAGAGAGAGAGAGAGGGACACACAGACAATGGAGATGGAAGTGAGATGAGAAGACTTGGGACACAACTGACAGGGACAGAAAGAGGCAGTATATCTTGGAGATGGTAAGAGAAGTGGGGAGAGTAAGGCCACACAGGGGGCCACCAAGGGCGGGTGAAGGAGCCTGGGTTACCTGGGTTGTTGTTCTGTACTCTTCCAAGGTCTTGGCCAGACTCTCTGCGTGGCAAGTGCACTGGAAAAGCCCAAAGCCGGCTGAGACTGGGCTCAATCCCACAAAGACAAAGACTAGGAGTGGGGGTGTGGGGTGTGGGGTGGAGGGCAGGGTGAGCTTGGGGGAAGGGCTAGGGCCTAAGGGACAGCACCAGTTTTGGAAAACAATAGAAAAATTTTAGATTAAATGTAAAAGGCATATGCAGACGTAGGACAAAGATTTGTGGGGCTCAGGCAGTCAGTATCATTGGCTTAACAGGGCAGAGATCCTTTGTGCTGGGGGAAGGGTGTAGGAGAGTTGGAGAGCAACAGAGAGGAAATAGGCTCTGAGCCATCCCAAGCCCAGGGTTAGCCATGAAAGGGGCAAGAATGGAACCACAGAACCCCTAAGACATATGGGAATCTTAGCGAGGAGTTTCCCAGCTCAGTCACAGAACAAGCAAGGCATCTTCCTGCAGGGTCATGCTTGTGATCTCAGGAAAACTCTGTGACCTCTCTGGGCTGCTTGCTTATCTAAGGATTAGAGCCAGGCAGGACTTCCCTTTCCAGACTCGGGGCAGATGGGCAGGTGCACATGGAAGCAAATGTCATCCCCACCCCAGCCCCCTCACCTCAGAGAGGTCGGTGTCTCGTTGGCAAATGAGGTGTTCACACTCATAGAGCTGCCGCTGCCAAGGAAGGAGTCTGTCCATCTGGTCTGCCTCCCAGGATGCTCCTCAGCCCTGCCCTCCCTGGGCCTGCCCACTCCCGAACCCCTCTCCTCAACCTCCCTGCAGGTCTCTGGACATCAGCTACACGGACAGGGATTTCAGTCAAGTTGCCTGGCAGCCCTGGGAACCCAAAGGCTCAATGGAAGTTCCCAGCTCTCACGGGGCCTCAGTGGCTGAAACTGGAGGTGGCAAAAATGACCCTGGGGGTAGTGGGAAGTTGTCAAGGCACTAGGGTGGGGTGGTACCTTCAAAATATCCTTCTCCATGGCCAGCTCCTCAGTTCTCCTCTTCACTCCATCCCGCTCGGCCAGTAGCTTCCCATTCTGGAAGGAGGAAGGGCCAGGTATATTCACTTCAGCAAACGGCAACACTACTACTCATAACTGACATTTGCTGACACTCGATGTGCATCAGGCCTCATGCTAAGCACTTTATATGTTTTAGCCCATGTAATCCCTCTGACATCCTACGGAACTTCAGCTTTGACTTCTCTGTGCATCAGTCCATTCCTCATCCATAAGAATGAAGATAAGATAGGACCTACTTCAAGGGGTTGCTGAGGATTAAATGAGCTAATTGCTAACATTTACTGAGCACCTTTCATGTGTTAACTCATTTATTATCCCCTATTTTATTGATTTCAGAGAGAGGAAAGGAGAGGGAGAGAGAGAGACAGAAACATCAATGATGGGAGAGTCATTGATCGAGCCCGCAACCCGGGCATGTGACCTGACTGGGAATCGAACCCCAATCGCCTGGATCCCAGGTCGATGCTCAACCACTGAGCCACGCCCGGCCGGGCTATTATCCCCTATTTTAAAGATAAAAGCAACTCAGCCCTGGCCAGGTAGCTCAGTTGATTAGAGCATCGTCCCCATATGCCAAGTTTGTGGGTTCCATCCCTGGTCAGAGCACATACAAGAAGCAACCAATGAATGCATAAATAAGTGGAACAACAAATCCATGTTTCTCTCTCTCTAAAAATCAATAAATAAAATTTTAAAAAGATAAAAGCAACTCAGACACTGAAAGGTTGACTGACTTGCCCCAGGTCTACAGGTGGTAATTAATGCAAATACATGTTAATAGCACAAAGTATTTAGAACAGTGCCTGACATATACCAAGTGTTTGGTAAATGTTGTATTAAAAATATTTTTATGTGGAATCTGAAGAATATAAGTGAACAAAACAAACAGACTCATAGATACAGAGAACAGACTGGTGGTTGCCAGAGGGGAGGGGGTTCTTAGGGGACTGGGTCAAAAAGGTGAAGAGACTGAGAAGTAAATTGGTAGTTACACAATAATCATGGGGATGTAAAGTACAGCACAGGAAATACAGTCAATAATATTGTAATAATTATGCATGGTGCCAGGTGGTACTGGGAATATCAGGGGACCACTTTGTAAAGTGATTGTCTAACCACTGTGCTATACACCTGAAACTAATACAAAATAATATTATTGAATGTAAACTGTAAGTGAAAAAAAATTTTTTTAATATTTTTTAAACTTTGAATTATAAATTTTTAACACACACAAAAGTAAAAATAGCAGTATAATGCACTCCCATTATCAATCACCTACCCTCCAGGTTTTTTGTTTTGTTTGATGTTTAACCAGATTAAAGCAAACCCCAGGATTTATATTATTTCACATGTAACTACTCTAGCATTTTATTTTATTTATTCTTTATTTTTGTTAATCCTCACATGAGGGCATTTTTTCCATTGCTTCATTGCTTTTCAGAGAGAGTAGAAGGGAGGATGGGAGAAACATTGATGTGAGAGAGACATATCGATTGGTTGCCTCCTGCACACACTCTGACCAGGTATGGGGAGTGAACCCACAACCCAGGTATGTGGCCTTAATTGAACCCACGACCCTTTGGTGCACAGGCTGATGCTCTAACCACTGAGAAACACCAGCCAGGGCTACTCCAGCATTTTAATCTACTTAAGGGACCTTTCCTTTAGCAAAATCACAATACCTACCATTATCATTCTTTTATTTTTATTTTTTTAAAATATATGTTTATTGATTTCAGAGAGAGGAAAAGAGAGGGAGAGAGAGAGACAGAAACATCAATGATGAGAGAGTCACTGATCGAGCCCGCAACCCGGGCATGTGCCCTGACCGGGAATCGAACCCCTACCACCTGGATCCTAGGTCGACGCTCAACTGCCGAGCCACGCCCGGCTGGGCCCATTATCATTCTTAACAAAATCAATAATAATTCCTTGGGATCATCTTATACCCAAGTTGTGTTCTTTTAAAATTCTGGTTGTCTCTCAAATGTTTCACATTTACTTTGTTTGAATGAGGATCCACAGGCTTTTGGTTGAAATGTCTCAATTATTATATGAGTGACCCTCCACCTTCCAATCCTGGCACTTTTTTGGGTCCTTTTGTGGAAGAAACCAGGTTATTTGTCTTATAGAAATTGGTGTATTTGGATTAGGTTTATTGAGTTCTCGTTCCCTATGGTGATGTTCACCATGTCCCTGCGTCTTCTAGGGGGTAGTCCCAGGGCCTTGTCCAGGCTCTTGTTCAACTTTTTGGCAGGCAGATTTCACAGGTGCTGCTATACATGTCATAATATATCATTCAGGAAGAATGTAATGTCCTAACAATGTTTTCACTGCCATTATCTCCAATTTTACAGAGGAAATTCAGGATTGAAGAGGTTAAAAAACTTGGCCAAGGTCACATGGTAAGTGGCCTCAAACCCAAATCTGATTCCAAATCCTGCCCTTACAACCCCAAGACTCTCCTCTGAGCCTGATGAAGCCTTGGCTGAGAATGGGGAACCAGATTAATCTCCTGTACCAAGCTCATCACTTGAGGTAGAAACCAACGCAGAAGCTGATGATAAGGTGTGGTGAGGTGGACTCTGATGAGGACTGGGGCCTGGGCCTGCTGGCAGTCCTCATGAAGGGCTTCCTGAGGAGGCAGTGCCAGGGGCAGAATCCTCAAGGCTGAGGAGTTATTGGGGAAAAGAAGGGGCCAGGAGAGAGCAGTGGGCAAGGCCACTATGAAATGGGACTGAGAGTAAAATGGCCCAAATTCCATTCTGGAGTTTCTGGGCACCAAAAGTCCAGCAAGTTGTAGAGTTTTGATGAGGTCGTCACGGAGGAAAGCATTTCTAGGCATGGAGGCAGTTGATTTCCCTTGCCACGTCCCTGGTACTGGTGCCCCTGGGGATACCAAGGCCAGCTCCTCCTCTTCTCTAGCCCGCCTTGGCTGCAAGTCCTCTATCAGCTGCCCTCCCTCCCTCTCAGTCCCAGCTAGCCTGGACTGCCAGGTGAAGGGCAGAGGAAGGACGGATTGGCCAGGAATGCTGTGTCAACATCTGTCCACCTGGTTGGGATTTGCAGGCTGGATCCTGGGCTACTCGGCAGGGAACCTGGTTACTCAGCCGCTCCTGCCTTCTTCTGCAGTAACCTGAGCTCTGCTCCGTAGGTTCTCCGTAGGAAAGCTGAGTGTCTGAGTGTCCCTTACTCCAGCATTATTCTACTGTAACTTGAGAACTCGATCTATAGATGCTCTGTAGGCAGCTGACAATGAGGAGAAAGGTGGAGGGGAGGGATCCAAGAATAGCTCCAATTATTGAGCGCCTAGGATGTCCCAGGCGCAGCTCAAGGCACTGGACCTGGCAGCAGGCCTTCTGGGCTAGGAAGAGGCAGAGACTGCTGGCTGCCATTCACCGTGCTTATTCCTTCTTCTGCTTTCATTGGGGGTCCCCTACCCATGTAGGCAGGTGGGTCTCAGCCTCAGCCCTGGGGGTGAATCAAGATGGAAATCCTGGCAGATTCAGGAGACTGGGCAGCAGGCCTTTTCCCCCCTCTAAGAGGCTGAGGATATTCTCCCAGCCTCCCTGGTGACTGGTTTGGTGGTGGCAGTGGGTTATCATGTGATCCAGTTCCATCAGTGACATGTAAGAGAGGTCTGCTGGGGTGGAGGGTACAGTGGGGTACTCCTGGAAAAGCTTTTCCTTATGATGAAAAGAGAGAGCCACGAGAGGAGCATATGCTGGGCCCCTTCTCCCTCTTTATCCTACTTTGAATGAGAACATGAAGTTGGGAGATGTTGCAGCCCCCTGGGATCACGAGGACAGACAGACAGACAAACAAGCCAAAGAGCTGCCAAACCAACCCAGAAACCTTCAAAACCTCTTGTTAATCAGCATTCTGGACCCATCAGGGGCTATATTACCCATGACGGAGCGGCTTGGCTATAATCATTTGCCACTTTGGTCAAAGAGATATAAGAGGGAAGTTCTGCCAGGGGCTTTAGGGAAAGCCCCTTTTCTTAAAAAGAGAAGTTCTAGAAGAAACAGTCACATCCTGTCTGTATCCCATGCCTCATCCTGCAGCAAGATTCCCATAGCCTCATGGAAGGGAATTTTCATGGAAGAGCCAGAAAACAATAGTAGAAAAATTTTAGATTTAAATGTAAAAGCTACATGCAGACGTAGGACAAAGATTTATGGGGCTTAGGCAGAGTCAGTATCACTGGCTTAACCGGGCAGAGATCCTTAGGGCTGGAGGAAGGGTGTAGGATAGTTGAAGAGAGCAACAGAGAGAAAATAGGCCCTGAGCCATCCCAAGCCCAGGGTTAGCCGTGAGGGGTCAAGAATGGAACCATAGAATCCCTGGGATGTCTGTGAATCTGAGAGAAGCGGTTCCCAGCTCAGTTGCAGAACCAGCAAGGCATGAGAATAGAATAGAAATAGCCGTGTGAGTTGTTGAGGCAGAGAGGGCTCAGGGAGGCCCCCATGGCCACAGTCACAGGAAAGCAGCTAACCTTTGCTGTGCCCCCAGAAGGGTATAAAAGTGGCTGAGTGAGAGCCTCAGCGGCCTTTACAGGGGCCACCACCAGCAGATGCAGTGAGGACTGTATGTCCAGAGACTAGAAGGCAATGCCAGCCTCCCAATGGATGCCAGCGTGCAGTGGTGACTAAGGCCAAGGACCAGATGGGACTACGAACATCAATCTTGTCCAGCAGAGAGAACAGATGTTGAGCGAGGTCTGCTGCCTCCTGGAGCACTAAGGTGCTGCCTGAGTCTCCAGCAACTTAGATGCCACCTTGTGGGGGGACAGCGATGAGATTCATCATCAAGTGATGAGTTTCAATTTCCACCTAAAAGGACTAGGTACACCCAGAATTAACTCAGGGGATGTTTTCTGTCTCAGAAAGAATGTGGCTCAAACCAGACGTGAGGTTCAACTGGGCCTGTTCATATTATGTGCTGGACTCTGGGCTAAAAGCAGTTATTTAATTCCCATAATAACCCTGCTGAAGAGATACCCTTCTCCATTCTTAGAAAATAAAACTAAGGCCCTGGCCGGGTGGCTCAGTTGGTTGGAGCATTGTCCTGTACACCAAAAGGTTGCAGGTTTGATTCCTGGTCAGAGCATATACCTAGGTTGCGAGTTCGATGCCTGGTCAGGGTGTATATGGGAGGTAGCTGATTAATATTTCTCTCTCACATCGATATTTCTTTCTCTCCCCCCCCCCTTCCTCTCTCTCTCAAATCAATAAAAACATATCCTCGGGTGAAGAATATAAAAAAAACAAAAGCCCGGCCAGCGTGGCTTAGCGGTTGAGCATCGACCTATGATCCAGGAGATTGAGGTTCGATTCCCAGTCAGGGCATATGCAGGGTTGTGGGCTCGATCCCCAGTAGGGGGCATGCAGGAGGCAGCCGATCAATGACTCTCATCATTGATATTTCTCTCTCTCTCCCTCTCCCTTCCTCTCTCTGAAATCAACAAAAATATATTTTAAAAAAGAAAGAAAAGAAAAAAGGAAAGGAAAGGAAAGGAAAGAAAAGAAAAGAAAAGAAAAGAAAAGAAAAGAAAAGAAAAGAAAAGAAAAGAAAAGAAAAGAAAAGAAAAGAAAAAACTAAGATTGGGAAGGGGCAGTCACATGCCTAAAGGTTGCCTGTCATGTAAGTGGCAGAGATGCAACTTGTACTCAGTGCTGACTTCAAGGCCTTTGTTCTTTCCAGCATTAAAAAAATACTAATATATGAACAACACTAGCTAATTTTTAGTAAGCACTTCCTATGTGTCCTGCCTTGTGCACAAGGCTTTACAAGCATCCTTGTTTAAATCTCACACAACCCAATGAGGGAGATTCTATCATTTTACCCCTTTTTACAGGTGAGGACACTGAGGCACAGAGTGGGGACCTATGCTTATGCAGGTAGCCTCAGTTGAACCCAGGCCGTCTACCCCGTGCCCTACACTCTGACCAACTGCGGCAGTTCTCGCATGCAGTGACGTGACCTTCAGAAACATTCACATGTTATTGTGATCCTGGGTTCTCCCTCCCCAGACTGAAGGGTGTTTGGTCTGCAGGCTGCTGGGGGTGTCTGAGGCACACAGGGTAGGACAAGAGAAGAGGTCGGGGTGGGCACTGGGCCTCAGCTCACCTCCTCCTGCAGAGACTCCATTTCAGCCACCAGATGCTGCTGCTCCTTTTCCTGAGAGAGGATAAAGGCTTCTTTTGGGGCTTCCTTGCCCCCATATTGCCCTTCCCCCACCCCTAGGATCACAACTCAGGCCTGGGTCACTGAGGAGCAGGATTGGGGAATGGGTCTGGGGAGCCCTGATGGCTCCTGCTGTCCCCTTTGTTTTTAGAGGAATGGCAAGTAGACCTGGCCTCAAAGTCTGAGGCAAGCAGGACTTGGAGGGACAGAGAAAGACTGGGTGACCTCTGCTCTTCCCATTCCACAGTCAGGCTCTGTTGCTCAGGCTCCAAGAAAGGGAGAAGGAAGAGGACACGTGCCCCTTGCCCAGAACCTACTGTCTGCCGGGCCTGCGCCAGAAGACTGCGATTCTGTTCCTCCAGGCTCTTGGCCAGACTCTTCAGGTCCTCCAGCTCCTCATCCATGGCCTTGGCAAACTGCAGAGCCTGCTGGGTACTGAGTATGGGCAGGGACACGTGGGCCATGAGAAAGAGGAAGAGAGATCCATTTAGAGACAGAAGCAGCAGAGAAATCCCAGACAGAGACCTAGAGATAGAGGGGGATGGAGACCCACAGAGAAGAGACTCAGAGAAAAAAGGGGGGAAAGAACTGAGCATGGGGAACAGAGACCAGTTTCTACCTAAAAGATTAAGGGGTGTCAGAGGGGGAACAGGACAGACATGAGGAAGACAGAGCACAGAGAAAGAGTCTACGGAGATGGAGAATAAGAAAGGGAAGAATAAAGAGAGAAGTCTGAACCCCAGAGGCTGAGAGACAAGAATCAAGGAGAGACAAAAGAGAAAGATAAAAGACAGAAGAAAAGAAGAAAGGGACAGGTCGGGATCATAGACATGCAGCAGGAGGTACAAAGAAAGCAAGTGGAGAATGAGGCTGGGTCAGAAGGGACCCAGGGACTCAGGACGGTGGACGTGGACCCGGCCCACCTGCGGAGCTGCTTGCGCAGGGCCAAGATCTCCTCCCCGAGGCGCGCGGACCCCTCCTCGGCAGTCTCCACGCTGCGCTGCAGTTTGGCATTTTCCCCCGCCAGCCTGCGGTTACTGAGCTCCAGGTCCTCCAGGCTGCTCAACAAGTCAGCTGTGCCAAGCCTGGGGGCAGAGAGGGCCAGGGTCACCACCCACAGCCCCAGCCTCCTTTCACGGGTGACGGTAGGCGGTGAGGGTGGTGGGGAGATAGGCTCTTGTGGAGAAAGAGGAACAGGAGGGAGACTGCCCCGCTCTCCCTGAGCTGTTAGCACAGCCCGTCCCTCACCCACTCCCAAAGGACCCCAAGCCCTAGCCAGGCCCTGGGAAAGCTGGAGGGCATGGGCAGGGAGAGGGTAGAGAGGGGCCTGAGGATAGGTACAGCTCAGGTCTGGGGTCTTCGCCTCCGAAGCTCTCCAGGTTGGCTGGCTCCTCGGTGTCTGGGCATACTGGAGGGAGACAGACAGAGGATAGTGGGATCCTCAGTGATGTTAGATATTGGGGTGACCCAGGACTCTGGGCTTGTTCCTTCTCTGGCTTCCACCCTCACATTTGCTCTGGGTGATCCCATCTGCTCCCAGGGCTATAACTATACCCGACATCAGAAAAGCCTCTTGTTCATCAGTACCTTGAGCTCAGGCTGGATCTCCCACACAGCCCTGTAATTTTCATGACCAACACTGGGCAGCACCTTAGCTGCCCCCAAACCTGTTCCTCCTCCCAGTCCACCCCCCCATGCCTCACCTGGGTCCCTTGCTGCTGCTCACCCTCACAGTACAATAGGGCCCAGGCCCTGTCCCCTCCTCCCTGACCCTCTGTGCTCTACCCCATCCTGGCTCAGGCCTCGCACCCTCACCACAGCCCCCTCCCCAGCCTCCTGGTCTCCAGCTTCTCCCTTCTGTCCTACCCCTACCCAGAGCTGACCCGCTCCTCCCCTGCTCACAGCCCTCCATTGACCCCCAAGCCCAATGGGAGGAGGTTCAAGGAATGCCAAGTAAGCTCTATTTTATTTGCTTTTGTTTTTATAAGGCTGGAGAAATATAACACAAACATTTGTTTATGGAGCACCTCCTGTGTATGAGGTCCTAGGGTTACAATGGTAAACAAATCAACTAACCAAACAGCAGGGCAGGTAACTAATCAGATGATCAGATTTCTACAGGAAAGGAACGCAGCTCTGAGTGTGTTCTACAGGAAAGGAACGCAGCTCTGAGTGTGTGAGTGTGTGTGAGTGTGTGTGAGTGGGGAGAGCAAGGGACATTAGTCTGGGGCATCCGGGCTGGCCGTTGATGAGAGGTGGGCGGGGCCTTGTGGGGCTCTATAATAGAGCTGGTGTTAGAAGGCTTTGAGAACAACCCCAGAGGAATGAAACCCCCAAAGCTCAAGGAAGGTGGGGAGGCAGTCATGGAGGCTCCTAGAAAGCCAAACTCACAGCTCCAGGCTAGAGCAAAGGTCCCTGGGGTCCCATTCTATCCCCTGCTCTGTTGCTAAGTGGGAAGTCCCCCCACTGTCTGACCCCAGGCCAGCCCGCTTCATTCTATATAAAGCAATCTCACCAGATGGCAGCTGCTGGGAGGTCAGGGGCCCCTCGAAGGCAGTCTCCTCTTCCAGCTCTAATCCTCTATATCAAAGAGATGAGGCTTAGAGCCCCCTGCAGCCACCCTCAAACCCAGCAGGGGGATTCTGGGTGGCTGGAGGAGGGGCCAGGTTAGGTGAGAGCAAGCATGGTGGGGAGGAAGGTGAAGCCAGATGGCAAGCGCCCGGGGCCAGATGGAAAAGCAGGAGGGCAAGGACTGGGATTGGAAAAGGGATGGTGAGGGGCATCTGTTAACCCCCTTTCACCCCCCTTTGCCTCCTTCCAGCCCCTTTTATGTCTGCCCCCAGACCCTCTTCACCTCCCCATCCCAGGCACTTTGTCCTTAGACTCTCTGCTGCTCTCCTACTCATCTCTTTGTTTTTTGTCTCCTCAGCCTCCTTCCAACTACAGGAGGTCCCTATGCCCCAGTAAACAGGTATGACATTAGATCTTAGGGAGGACTTCCCAGGTGAGGGTGGAGGTACAGGGACTTACCCATCCATCTGACAGGCAGCGATCCAGTCCCGCATGACGACCAGGAAGGTGTCCAAGTCCACAGTGGCCTGAGGGCCCTCCCTGTTGGGGTCCAGGCTGCAGGCCAGTGTTTGGAGACGTGCATCCTGGGAGCCCTGTCCTGTTACAGCCTCCAGGTAGGCTAGGACTTGGGTCACAGCCACCAGGCCTGAAGACAGAGCATACCATGGAGCAAATGGGGAGAAGTGGGAGTTGGGAACATTAGGATGACACTGGCTGGGCTGTTGGCACCCCTGCACCACAACCCAGCTAAGACAACTTGGGCAAGTCCTTTACCCTCCTCTGAGTCCACTTTTCACTTGGACTTTTTCACAAGTCATCCCTATCTCAGAGGGTAGACCAAAGAGAAACAGCTGTGCCCCACCAGGCCCACAGTAGCTGCCCTCCCACCCTCTCCCAGGCACCAAAGCCAACCCTTTTTCCTTAATGTCCCCTCACTGTCCTTGCCTGAAAGGCCCCCATCCCTTATCCACTCCCTCCTGGAGCTTCCCACAATCACCCATGTCCTACAAGGCCCCCAAGAAGGGCGCTAGCCCATCCCTCTCTCTACAGCGCCCCAGTTTCCAGCCCCCATCTCTGCCCCTTATTATTCCTTCTTCCTCCCAGGCCCAGTGCTCCCAGACCCTGTCCATTTCCCTCCCACCTGTCCTCTGGGGGTCACAAGCTTCGAATGTGGAGTTGAGTATTTGCTCCTCTAAGCTGAGCAGTGTCCCTCGGCGCCCCTCCTTGGGCTGGTCCCAGAGGTATACTGAGGAGACAATAGGGTCAGTCCACCAGTGAGGAGAGGAGTGGCCAGGTCTCCTTTCTGGTAACAACTTGGGCTCCTAAAGGGGGGTGGAATTCATTTGGAGCTGCCTGGAGTTGGGACTGGTGGGGAACTGCAGGAAGCTTCGAGTGGGTGCAGCAATGTGAGGGTCTTTGAACCACCTCCCTGCCCCTCATCCTGGGGATGTGGGCCCCATCTTTTGGGCCAGGAAGTTGCCCCTGCTGTCTGATCCTTTGTGTACAATCTGCTCAGGAGCCCAGATAACAAATGAATAATCACCCTTTCCTCCTCTCTTCCTCTGCCTCCCAGGCTGTGCTTAGAGGGTAACAGAGGTGGGGGAGGGCAAAGGAGAGAGGATTCTGGGAGGAGCTAAGAGTGAAGGGGGGGCCCAGAAGCCAGGAACAATCAGATAACATCCCGGCAGCCTGGATCGATTCTGCCTGCCGCATCTCCGGTCTCCTAGCCTGCCTGGTGGGCTGGGTCTCTCTCCTCCAGGAGCTCAGAGCCCAACTGCACTACTGTGGGAAGTTGTTTCTCTTTTTGGAGCCTCAGTTTCCCCACCAGTAAAGTGGGGACAGGGTAGAGTAATCCCCATCCCCAGGGCTGGGAGGGTTAGGTCTGTGTATGTGAAGAGAGCACACATGTGCATACTGTGCACATCCCAGGGTCTGTTTGTCCACTGCTATATCCACAGTGTTTGTATAACAGGCACTCAATAAATGCTCCAAGATATAGGAGGAGATCCTCTACCCCAGGAACCACTGGGACAGCCCAGCATCTTTCTGAGGGCTGGAAGTGACCTTCAAGACTCCCTGCATGCTGGGTATAGCAGTGGGCTGAGCACAGGCTACAACATCTGGCAGACCTAGGAGCAACCCAGGCAAGGGGCTCAGCCTCTCTCTGTCTCTCTTTTTTTAATCCTCGCCTGAAGATATTTTTTCCATTGCTTTTCAGAGAGTGGAAGGGTAAGGGGGGGGGGGAGAGGGAGAGAGAAACATTGATGTGAGAGAAACACATCAACTGGCTGCCTCCTACACACAGCCTGACTGGGGCCAGGGATGGAGCCTGCAACCAAGGTACATGCCCTTGGCCAGAATCAAACCCGTGACCCTTCAGTCCATAGGCTGACGCTCTAACCGGCTAGGGCTAGGACTCAGCCTCTCTGAGCCTCAGTTTCTTTGCCTGGAAAATAGTGGTGGTGTTCCCCCCCTCTTAGAAAATAAATGAGATAAAATCTGGAAAGGCCCTGGCAGAGGGCCTGGCATGTAGTGGAAATTCAGTATAGAACTGAAAATTTACTCGGCCCCTCCTGAAGGTTTTGCATGCACCATGGTGGCTGCTATTATTAGCCCCACCTTACAGAAGAGGAGGCTTAGGCACAAAGAAGTCAGGAACTTGCCCAAGGTCACCTGTTCAACATATGAGTACCCTTTCTCATCCCTCTAAGCCTTCTAAGGTTCTTTGTAGCGAGCTCAAATTCAACCCCCTTGGGTTTGAGCCCATGCTCCTTGGGAAGGAGTAGGAACCCACAGTTAGGGGAGACACCAGGGCCTGTGCCCAGGGCTTTCCCTGCACTCTTGTTTCTTCCTCTTACCATGCTCCATGTTATGGAGAAGGACCTCAAGGCCTAGCGAAGTCACTTTCCCAGGGCCACTTAGCCAGGGAGAGCAACACAGAGTCAACCCAGGAGGTCTGATTACAGATCACGTGTGGTCTGAGGTTCTGCCCAGGGCACTGCACGAAGATGCCACTGTGCTTCTCTCCTGTTTTCTTTCCTTCTTTTCCTTCGTCAGTGTCTCTCCCTCTCTGTGTCTCTGTGCTTGCTCTTTTCTAGTTTTCTCTTTGGCTCTTTTTCTCCATCTTCCTCCCCATCTCTCTCCCCATTATGTCTTCTCTGTCTCCATGTCCCTTGCCCTCATTTTTTTCTCTGCCTCTGTGCTTCTCTTTCCATATCTCTGTGACTCTCTCTGTTCATTCTCCAAGCCTTCTCTCTCTATCCTCTGCTGTCTCTCTGTGCCTTTCCTCTCTAGAGCCTTTCTCTGTCTCTATCTCTCCTGGGTGTGTCCCTCCCTTTCCTTCAGGAGCCTCTCAAAGCTGGCTCAGCTCTGGCCCATGGTTCCTCGGTGGCTGCACGCCCTCTGCTGGTGCCAGCGAAGTGCTCCTACCTTCCTACCAGGAAAGCCTCCAGAGGCCAAAGTCCAAACCTGAGGAACCAAGAAAAGACTCAGGCTCTGCTGCTGCTGGACACTGGGAGCCTCTAATAAAGGGGCCCTGCCTCTTTCAGAGGGTGAGAGCCTCCTCCCCCATCACACTGAGCTCCCCACTTAGCAGATGAGTTTCAGAGAGGGCAACCTAGCATCTTGCTCCGGGAGCGGCTTTCACATGCATGTGGTTTGCATCCAGTCAATTCAAGGATGTTAACTGAGGTGTCAGGCATTGTTCTAGGGTACCACCTCACTTCCTGTGGTTTGTAAGCACCTGAACTGTGGCCAGTGTGAACTGAGATGCTCTATTAGTATAAAGCACACACCAGATCTTGAAGACTTTGCATGAAAAAAATATCTTCAATCCATTTTTATATTGATTACATGATACTATTGTGGCTGTATGACATTAAATAACATCTATTATTGCCATTCATTTGGCCTGTTTCTTTTAAAATTTATTTTAAATGTGGCTACTAACAAAATTTTAAATTACAGATATGGCTGGCATGTTGGACAGTGCTGCTCTAGGAATTGGAAATACCAGGATGAATAAAGCGGACCCGGCCTGGCGGGAGAGACAGTGTGTAAACAGATAAACCAAACCTATGTCAGTGCTATGAAGAGAGGGAAAGCAGGAAAGAGGAGTGTGTGCCAGGGCAGCTGCTTTGCAGAAAGCAGAGATCTGAAGGAAGTGACGGTGAGCCTGCAATCACTGGGAAAGGGTACTCCAGGCAGGGAACACAGTTCATGCAAAGACTTCTGCTCTGGGCTCCCAGAGCAAAGGGGATAAGGGGTCCAGACAAATGGGCAGGTTCCTTCCTTCCACCCTGCACCAAGGTGGAGCCCCAAGCCACCTCTCCCAAGTCCCCCGAGTCACAGCCTGGTGTTCGCTCACCCACTGCTCCCTCCTCATCCACCCATGGAGAAAGAGGGGCCCAGCCACCTACTTTGTGTAGCAGGGCCACCGGCGGGTCTCTCTGGTAGGTCCATGGGCCACCCTTGTTGCTCCACAGCTGCTGGAGAAGTTAACAGCCTCCCTCCATCACTGGGAGGGAAGGAAAAAAGACTGGCTGCTCTGAGAGCTCCTAGAAGGACAAGCAGGGGAATGGCCTCCTCAGACCAGCCACCTGAGGGTGGGGACCTGCCCTGCCTTACCTGTGCCTCAGGCCTTTCTGGGTTCTCAGAACCTGTTTGCCCACCCCTGTCTCCATCACAGCAGCTCCAGCTCAGACCTGTTTTATGGATTGGAGGTGTGGGTTGGGAAAGGGGGACCAGAAGAGCGGGTGGCAGAGATCAAAGTGGGGTTAGTGGGTGGGGGCCACTGCCTCTTCACCATCCCTCCTCCCCACAGCTTGTCAAGTCCCCAGCCCTGTCCTTCCTGCCCAATGACTCTGCCCTGTATCCTTCTTTCCTTCCCTACGGCCCAGGCTCCGGCCTAGTCCTCTCCCCATGGGACCTCATTGTAGCCTCTCCCCTGGTCTCCCAACCTCCAGTCTCCCACTCCAGTTCATTCCCACAGGGCCCCCGAGCTGACCTGCCCCTCCCCTGCTCAAGATTTTTCCATGGCTCCCCAGCACCCCATGGACAGAGCCTAGACTCTGGACTTGGCATCGAAGGCCCTGCCTGGCCTGGCCCCATCCAATCTCCTCACCCCAAATCACACTTGCTGCTCCAGTGACTCTGAACTGAGTGTTGTTCCCTAAACCAAGCTTGCTGTTCCCACCTCTGGGTCTCTCTGTCTGGGACACCCTCCTTGCCAGCCCTTCCAGTCTTAGCCTACATGTCTCCTCTTCTAGGAAACATTTCTAAACGAGGTGCTGTCTCTGGGTTCCCGACCACCTTGGGCTACTGACATCCCTGCCATATCAGCCTGTTTTTGAATTGCTGGTATCCCACTCGAGTTTGACCCCATCTCTCCCCTAATCCTAGCCCTCTCATGGCTCCCTAGTGCCTGCAGGAACTAAGTCTTAGCCCCTCTGGTTGGTGTTGTAGAGTGGTCCCTGCAACTTCTTGCCGGTTTTTGTCACTTTTCTCTTCATTGGCCCACCTCCAGGCCCCTCACCCTCCTCACAACCATGGGAGCTTAGCATCTTCCCATGTTCCTCCCAGGCCTAGGCCACAGTGCAGCAACATTCCCACCTATGGCCTCTGCCCTGCCCTGAGTCCCTGGAGCAGTCAGGGTCTCCCTCTTCTGTGCCCCGAAAATGCCATGTCCTGCCTACATTATAATCAGGTTGATCTTACGACTTCTTATCCCAACTCCAGGACCCTTTCAAGAGCGAAAGGGATGCTATTAATGATTACACTGGATAGTAGTGCCCATCACGCTGGACTAGCACACTGGGGCAAACAAATGGTCAATGCAGGGTCCTCTGGGGCCTGTCTGTTCTCATCCCACCTGCCTAGCTCCATCTCAACAAAAACTCCCCGCACCCTGCCTTCCCTGGCACCAGATGGGGTTCACAGCTGTGCCGTGCACACTTCTTGGTGGTTTTTAGAATTCCTAGAAAAAGCCATCTTTGAGGAGAGATCCTTCCAGGGTTTGGATGACACTGGAGGGAGCAGATGGGGAGCAATGGCCCTGGAACCTGAGTGGGGAAGGTGCCTGCAAGGGTGTTGACAGGCACAGGGAGCTTTTGACAGGGTTGAGGGAACAAACTCCTAGTGAGGGACCAAAGGAGGCTCTGGCCAGACTCAAGGGTCTTTGGAGAAAAGAATCTCAAGCAGTAGAACTCAGGGAGGAATTCTGGGAATTTTAAGGGGGTCTGGATTTCTGGGGTATCTCTGATTGGAACTCTTGGGGGGGGGTCACTGGATTTCTGGAATTTCTCTGACTGGATTTCTGGGGTATTTCTGACTGGATTTCTGGGGTTTCTCTGACTGGATTTCTGTGGGGGTTTCTGGATTTCTGGGGTATCTCTAACTGAATTTCTGGGGTATCTAACTGGCTTTTGAGGTATCTCTGACTGAATTTCTGTGGGGTCTCTGGATTTCTGGGGTTTCTCTGACTGGATTTCTGCAGAGTCTCTGGTGATCTGAGGTATCTTACTGGATTTCTGGGTTATCTGACTGGATTTCTGAGGTATCTCTGACTGGATTTCTATGGGGTGTTATTTTCAGGGCTCTCTGATATTTGGGAGGGGAATCTGACAGGATTCTTGGTGGGTTTGACAAGATTTCTGGGGATCGGACAGGCTTTCGGGGGTTCTCTTTTAGGATTTGGGGAGAGGAATGGGGTCTCTGACCGGCTCTGAAGAAGTCTGAGAGAATTTCTAAAAGATTCTGACAAGATTTCAGGGGTCATCTATAAGATTCCCTGGTGGGTTCCTTTCAGGATTTCTCAGGGGATTTGGTCAGGATTTCAAAAAGGCCTTTAACGAGATATGGAAGAGGCCCTGACACCGGGGCTCCGTCCTACGACTTGGGAGTTTGTCAGGATTTCGGGAGGGGCTCTAACTGGGCTACCTCGCGCTGCCAAGGCGCACCTGAGGTCACGACCTACTCCGGGGACACAGGCGAGGGCCACGAACGACGAACGACGAACGACGAACGACGAACGACGACCAGCAGTCGCCTCCGGTGGAGGTGCGCGTACGCTATTCCCGCCCGAAAAGCGAAGAAAGCGGGGGGCGGGACCGAGCGCGCACGCGCGGCGTCTAAACCCCGCCTTGTTGGGCTCCTCCCCCGACGCAGGCGCACAACAGGGGGAAAGTGCTCTCGAGTCTCGTCGGTTACCTGCCACAGGGAGGCTGCGCATGCGTAGGGCTGCTCTGGCGCACGCCCAGCCCAGCGGCGCGTGCGCACGCCGGTCGGCCGAGTCGCTGAAGGCAGGAGGGGCTATCGCTGGTGGGGGAAGGGGCAGGAGGCTCCGTGCTCTGCGCTGGGGTCTTATCCGCGTCACCAAGCTTCAGCGAAATAGGCCCAAGCAAGGGAGGGCTGGGCTCAGAATCTCCTTGTTGATCCCCACTTACTAGCTACCAAGCCGTGGCCTTTCTGCCCTCTGTTTCGCAACAGGCTGCCCGTCACCGTCACAATAACGTCCCAGCCTCACGACTCCTGCGCCCTTTTGTGGCTCCAGTCCCAACGTATTAATAGATCCCCGAAGGATTCTTCCCCAAACTGTTCCATTCCCTCCTTTAGAAGAGAATGCGGACAAAATATTCTCAGCTTTTCCTGCTAGACTCAAGAGAGACAGAAAATTACATCCAAAATTGACTCCCAAGAAGGGGGATTTGGGAAAAAGATGTCCCAACCACTCAACCTCTCTGCCAGCTCATATTACCCACTTAGAGCTGGTCCGAAACTAGTGTTATCACAACTACTTGCTCACAGTCAATTACAGATGGAAGTTCTCATACTATCCACTTTTTAGTGGTCCTCATCACGTGTCTTAAAACGTGACACGTTCTGTATTTGCGTTGTCTGTCTGTCACCCCAGCAGGGATGTGAGCTATTGTAGTAGGAGCCTGCTTGCGGGCTAGAACAGCCTGGCCCCAGCTGAGCGCTTAAAAAAAAGCTGAGTGAGTGAATGGACCGAATCCCTGCCTCTTAAGTGCTGGGCAGTGTAGAATGGTGAGGTTGTGGGCCTGGAGTCAGACATTCTTAGGTTTGAATTTTGACTCCATCACTTCATAGCTATAACCTTGGCACAATGGCTGCTCTCTCTGAGCCTGTTTTCCTCCCAGAAATGATAATTGCTTCTTAGGTTGCCTTGAGGACTTAAGGTGGCAATCCTTGTTTAATAGTTATTATTTTGGCTATTAGTTGATGGCTTGTTGTAAGGCCTGGGAAACAACCTGCTTGGCAGGTGATGTGGTGAGTGGTTAAAAGGGATATGGAATCGGACAAACCTAGTGCCATTGTTGTGAGGCTTTGATGACTTCACCTCTTTCTCTAAAATGAGGACAAATAGTAACCACCTCTTGGGGTCTTATGGGAGTTCAATAAAAATGTTTGCCAAGTGTTTTGTTGGCACAGGCTGGCAAGTGGTAGATCCCATTCGCTTTATTAGTATAATTTCATTCTTTCAGTTTATATTCCTTCAGTATTTCTTGTTCCTTCCTTTTTCGAGGTCTGGGTAATTTTATAACACCTAAAAAATTAAAAAAATTCTTATAGTATAGTGGTAACATATAGTGATAAATCTTAAGTTATAGCTCAATTAAATTTTTATAGCTTTCTAAGATGAGTGCTTAGATCAGTTATATTTTTAGATTATTTAGCCTCTTTTCTAATATATGCATTTAAGGCCATAATTTGCTTTCTGAAAACTTTTTAAAAATATGTTTTTATTGATTTTAGAGCGAGAGGGAGAGGGAGAAACATTGACAAGAAACATCAACACTGATCGGCTGACTTCTGCACAAACCCCTGCCAGGGATCTAGCCCCAAACCTGGGCATATGCCCTGGCATGTGCCCTGACCGGGAATTGAACCAGTGACTTCTTGGTGCATGGGTTGGCACTCAGCCACTGAGCCACACCAGCCGGGCCTAACTTCTTGATCTACACTCCATTAGTTCATGTCACATTTTCATTATTATTGTTTACTAATTTGACCTGTGCATTATTTCAGTGGTATATTTCTTCATTTCCAAATATTTTATGACTGCCTAGTTAGCTTTTTATTGTTGGGACTTGCCATGGCCTGATTGGCTGAGACTTGGGGACATATTCTAAAAGGAGATAGTGCTGTTAGATGTAAGAACTTTATTTCCATAAGGACCTTGGGGTGAGGTCTGGTGGGGGGTACATACAGATGTTCCCGTCCCCACCCTTAAAGCTGCTGGGAGGGCCTGAGAATGTACAGGAAGTGTGTTTTGCGGGCAGGCAGCCTGAAGTGGGCCGAACCCTGGGTCCCTTTTTGCAGGGCCTCCTCTCGGGTCCCCTCCAGGAGCCCTTCTCGGATGGCCTGCAGGCGGTGTTCCTTCTCGCTGAGATAACGGTTGCCTTCCTGGGCATTCTGGTGGGACCTTCGCCGTGGTAGCTTCA